AACCAGCGTAATTTACGCAGGTCGACCACTGGCCCCAGTGGCCGATTGCGGTTACCTAAAGCCCTACGACTAACCGCGAAATTGCTTGTCCGGTAGCCCCACTAGATTTGTGCAATGTTGCGTAAACAGTCTATTCTTCTCCTATTCCTGTAATGGTTAGGTTTCTGCATCGTAGAGCAAATGCTAACCGAGCCTTCTGTATGCGCACCGACACTTCATCTGTGACTCGTTCGCCGGGTGAGAAATAGCTTCCCAAATAACAAAATCTGCTCGCTGGGTCGATTACATCCCCAGTCAGAGTGAGGCTGGATGCTGGACCAAGTCAGTCTAGTAGCAACATTTTACACTTCGATGGTGCTTGAAACTGGCCATACTGAAAGCAAATAAATTATACTTAGGACCTGACATGCATCCTGCTGTGACTAACTTTGTATATCATCACGCCCGCGGGTGGTCCCCATTTAATGGAACTTATCCGGGCTATAGCTGGACAGCCCCTTTTATTCTTTGAATCTCCGTGCAACCTCATTATGCCCTTGAAAAATCCGCCTCCTAATGACTCCGCCAGAAGATCCTGTGCTTATTCATTAGTCTTGTTTAAGGTAGCCCCACCGAAATGAGAGACCGAATCTGAAGCTATAAACAACCGTTGACCGGAGTTTATTCTCTTGGAGGATTATTGGAGAAAACATCTAAGTGAAACCACTGGCATAAACTCATTGCCTATATGTCACAGATTTGACAGGTCATCAGGACCCTCGGGACAGGTTCAACTCGACCGCTAGAAATTTGAACAGATATGAACTCCAAATGGAAAGTGGACTCTGCAAGTGTCATCTGTACACACGGTGGACTGCATCTGATAAGAGCAGCACCTCTACAGTAGTGGCCGATTGTGATGCGCTACATTCTGAGCCATTCCATTTGCTGAGTATAAACGAATCAGAAAAATCACGTCTACAAAGAATCACCAAGGCTTGTTTATTATTATTTGGAAAAAAATTTACTTCAGTATAAATGCTGTTGCCTGTACGAACCGACAAGTGTTTCACAAGGACCCGTTGTTTCAGTTTCGACTAGACCTGTAAGTACGTTGACTGTCGTGTCCCCTTGGGGCATCTTCCTCCCGTTTGGTCTCCATTCGGTAGTCAACTCTCAACTGCGGCTCCATGAAGCTGAGACGTACATCAGCGGTCACCCCCGGGAAAACTGCTCGAGAGACGGACTAAACAGTTGAGGGTAACTGAAGTTTACGTGTTGGAGAGACGGTGAATGGTATACCAAGCCTGCGAAAGGGGGTTGCTGCTGGTCATCCTTTATTGCACCTCACGAAACGCTTCTATACGATCAAGTGTATCAAAAAGTCACTGCTGAGGAAGCCTTCAGCTGGCGGAAGTTTTTTCCCAACAAAATGAGAGGACGAAAAACCAACATTTCGACTATTATAACCCGATTGGTGAACCACTGGCAGCTTACCCTGTTTCCAAACCAACCAAGAAGAGGCGTACAAACCACACACACACACACCTCGAAAAAACACGGTTTGCTTGGGGACGACTCACGTACCAAACTCCAGTGAAATGTCATGATTCTCAGGAAACCGGTTTTTTCTCTCCAAGGAGCAGACCGAAGTAAGTACACATGGTAGCTCGGATCATCGGATTCAACTAGCTGTGCGTGTGTATGACCTGTGAAGGCCCAGGTGACTGGTCTTCTAAACAGTCCCATCTCGTTCATGCCCACCTAAATGATGCTAACCAGATTGGTTGACATCCACAGACTAAGTTCGCCGGGGGCGAGTGTTGCGCATGTCACCAAAAAGATTGCCAAGGAGCTTGCTGTTTTCCGAAGCAGGTGATTGGTGGAACATGGTCAAGAGTGGCCAGCGTAAGACCTGGCATGAGGGTACGAAAACAACGCACACGAAACTTGCTCACACAGGTCGCTTTAGGCTCACTGAATGCGGACACCGGGATCAGTTTGATCAATGGTTGGACACTGAGAGATATGGTTGAGTGTCGTGAACAATGGCGCTCGTGCATCTTAACAATTTCGTCATAACCTCAGTCTTCAGGAATTCTTTATTCTCATTATGACACTCATCTGAACATTCCAATCTTCCCTTTACTTTTTCATCAAAATGGGCAGGCATGAGACAGCAACCAGAACCGACGAATATGGTTAATGATTGTTAAAATTGAAGCCAGATTAGTTATGAGCTGAATAACAGATTTGAGGCAATCTCGTGAACAAACAACAACAACAACAACAAACAACAGGGCAACCGAAACAGTTTAAGCAAAACTGTGTACCTTGCAAGGTCTCTTCGACCACCTCGACAATCCGATCGATTTGTTGCACTCCGATTATACTTACACCCTGCAACGGGAGAATGAAAAAATTACAAGAATATGAAACGCAAAAAAAATCAGATGGGAGAATCATGTCTTACACCCAGTCAACTGGATGGATTCCCCCTGGGATCAGATGATCAAGACTGTAGGCTACAGACAAATCAGATAGTAATTGAAAAATTAAATGGGATGGAGAGGAACTGTGAAGATGGATAAACGCTGTCGTGGGGCGCTTATCAATCCCACAAGTTTACCTACTTTTTTGCCTTATTGCCAAGCAAACTGACGGGAGAAACAAAAATCCACGCAGCTATTATTATCAACAGTTCGTAAGTGACACAGTGAATTTCGTCGTGTGTAGAGTAAATGAGGCGTGCAGTGAAAAGCCTCAGAAGCACGGAACAGCTGTTTCGATTTGGTTTGGTCTCATCAACAACGCGAATCCATTGACTCGGCTTGGGTTGGAACCCGGGACACCACATCAAAGAACGTAAGCATACTACCTATTCGAATACAGCTGAATCAACAACTGAATCAACAGTTGATCAAACAGTTTTTCATGTTACCTTTACAAGATGTAGCACAGTCTACCATTTCGCGCTTGTTGCGAGCATCGTACCTCGCTGATCTCAGCACTAGCCTGCGGTTTGATCAGCCGCCCAGTTGTCGAGTAGTTGATATGCGTGCGTTCTGCTTGTTAGACCCTGAATTCACGATCCCGACGGATTCGCGCATTGCTGGTCAGACCCAACCATGTCGAAACAACTGTTCAGAGGTCCTTGGATTTTACAGCTCATGATTTACACGACGAAATCCACTATATAATCGGATCAAATCCTTCATTGCCATCATGTAATCTATGATTTCTTCTTGTTTTTATTATAGACAAATTGCAACTCCAAGGGTCTGTCATATTTCTTACCGTCTCCGCGGTTACATTACTAGTATTATGTGCACATGTGTAATCAACTAACAGCTTCAGCGGCAGATAGCTTCAGTGTCAATCGACTCAAAATCAGACGTGATCCATCACTCCGAGTCCTCGGGATACAATTCCATTTCCTATGAAAATGTGTGGCAGTTCACGGAGTCCACGGGTTCGGCCGGTTCATTACTGTGGCCGTAATACAGATGATGGACCTTAAATTGAATTCCTCCAACCACAGGCACTCAGAATCCGTGAACCTAACAGGTTTCAGTTGAGCGATTAGAGAACGTGTATGTATAGCCCATAAAACGACTCGGAATCTTGTTGTGTTTGTCAGTCTATCGCCGGATCTTCTCCCACTAGAAATTTCCAAACGATTCCAGTCAAAAAACAATTGTAAAACAGTGCAAACACTTATTGACAACACCAGGAAAGTGCTTTGAATAATGAAGAAGAGTGCTATAATTATAGGGTTGCATACAGCTTAGCTCTCTCTCCCCCCGAAAGAAAAATATGAGAGACCAATGAAGCGAATGGGCCAATAAGATTGTAGTATTCTATCCGTTACCCAGGCTTCCACCAATCTAGTAACATCCAGATAACACCGGTGATCTCTCACGGCGGCGATCGGCCCAAATCCATCTTTCACGGATTCTGTCGGAAATTTCAGAGAAAATTAGGTTTTCCTTGACAAGTGCGATAAGAAATTCGCTGCTACGCCCGTGTTAAGCACGCGTTGCCACGGTCATTCATCAAAAAGGCGAACGCACCCTAGAGTGGTGTAATAGCCTATGTACTTGTACGAATGCTTGCTTCTTCCCCAAACTGAGTAAATGTGAAATGTCGAAACAAAGAGAGAAGGAAAATTTGATTCTGACATTGACTATCCGACAACCGATTGAATACGTTTTACTAGCAAGGAAAATAACTTTGCTTTAACTGCTTCTCGAAAGAGTTAACCAAAACCAAAGCCTACATACGCACATACCTTTAGATAGTTCGCTCCAGGACGACTCTGTGGTACACAACCGGCGACCACAATGCGTTTGCCCAATTGAATTCCTGCAGTCACCGCGTTACGGAAATGATCCTCTGCCGGTCCTTTGACAGTGCAACTGTTCAAGACCCACAAATCCGCGGCCGCTTTGGCCTGCTCATCTCGTTTCGATCTGGGATCCGAACGAGCGCACGAACCACATTCACCATGCCCTTCTTTTTCGTCTTCACCCTCATCACCACCGCCACAAACAGTAGAATCCCCGGTGCTGACCGTCTGGCAACAAGCGACTGATCCGTCCGCTCCACAATCGCACTGTGGTGGATCCACACTCAATGTGGCATGGTTATCTGTCAATTCTGCACTCAGAGGCACGATCGGAGTGTCGGAACTTCCGCCCAATGTGACACGGTAACCATATTTGGCTAGCAACCCGGCCATATATTCACTATCGCTTGTGTTATGAGCACAGCCCCAGGTTTGGACAAACACGCGATATTTCTCTGCGGAGGCGAAATGGAACGTACGTAAACAAAGGTGATCGTAAGTGAGTGAGTAAGCGAATCAAACAATTTGTAAACGGGTGACTTTTTGTGTGTAGCTGACATTGTTGCTAGTGTGATTACTAACAGCACTGACTGCACTTATATTTATATACAGTGAAATGGGAGATTGTTGTGATACTTCTCGAACTTCACTTGTATAAACTTCGCCGACATAGCTGAATACATATCATGAACAGCTTCAATCACTGGGTGGTGGTGGTGGCGCAGTCGTTTAGTCGCTGTCACCGGCTTGCTTTGGACCCTGTGGTTCGAGGTTCGAACCCCGACACTGCCATCCGACCTTGGTGGTAGGCGGCTTTGCTGTCGTTCAGTTCAATACAACCCCTGACCTAGCGGGGCCTTATGTGGTTCGCCACTCCAAGTCCCGGGGCTTAGGTTGCCGGTTTCCACCATGGAACAGCAGGTTCTCATGACCCTAGGGTTCACCTCCTCTGCTATTCATCACACAAAGGTATGTAATAAAAAGCAACACTGGCAGTGGGAATAAACCCCAAAGAGACAATCAACTACTATTCGCTTAAGTTTATGAAATACTTGAACCGTAGGATTTGTGGTGGCGAACAGAGTAAAGCCCCGCTAGAATAGGACAGTCGTGCTACGGAACTGAATGAAAGCGAAGCTGCCTACCATCGAATTTGGGGGTGGTGATTGCAGGTTCCAACCGTGAGATTTAAGGGATCATAGAACGCCAGTGACATCGACTTCGGACGAGCAAGATGAAGACACTCTGATATGTTTCCCGATGAAAAGTACAAATAAATACTCCGCAGGGTAGACACATACACACATTCAAACACACCATAATTCTGGAGACCTTAGAACTCCTATTAAACAACAATACGGTGTTTACTCCTACGAAGTAGACACGTCTGAATAGTAAAACCATTGTGAACCTTGTACTTGAAAAGTAAACTCCTGACTGTCCAAATTACCTCAATCCTTCATCTTCCATTCTCCTTGCAAATTACGGGTCCCGATGGCATGACGGATAAAGCCTTCGGTCAAGGTCTATTCATGTTTATATTTACCTACTATTGTGTCTGAGTTCGACCACAACACAAGGAGAATGGTTTCTCCATACATTTGGAATACTCACACTATCCGCAACCACGAACTTAGTATTACTTACAAAAAGAAGACTCGCATTTGGCACCCAAAAAATCATAAACAGATCACCAACTTTGAGGCAGCCGATCAACCAATCGCTCGAACAACTCACCTGAGCCTTGGTCAAGGCACTAGTAAAGACCATAGCTAGATACCAAACTACTAAATTGAATACGGTGGATCTCCCACATTTGAAGTTGGTACTGATTAGGAACAACCTGATCAGCTTCGGGATCATCCAGTGACTCCACTGATGAGGAGATTTGATCAAGTAGCCCCATGCATCACAGATTAATCCGTCTAACATTTCGTGAGTTTACTGAAACATCTAAGCTGAACAAGTAAGCAAAGAACGATCAGGGATTCGCCAAATTTTAGTGCTGTTCTCGGGATGTTAATCTCAACCCAGACCCTTTGTAGTGCTTTGCATTTTCATAGTTCAAGTTTAAGCGATATCCTCGAGGTCTCCGCCGATTATGTATTATAATTAGCGACAGACTAAATAATACGAGGTATGAGAATCGCAATGAGAAATGGACAATGATTTGATTGGCTGAAAATGAAATTCCTCAAAAGGGACCAAAAAAGCTAAATGAACAGGCCATAAAGTAGCGCAAAAATGTGCCATAAAAGAAACCAACCCGGAATGATGCTGGAAACCGCTAAATCAGATGTTTCGTCTTCCGGTCGACCAGTCCGTAACCTTGCTTTAACAAAAGATTTTCTACCATCTCTTGTAAACTCCAAATCTGGTGGCATGTCTTCAATATCCATAGGCAAGAAATAGACAGTGATTCTTGATTAGAAAACACAAACGTTTTCCCGTGGTCCAGAGTTATCCAGAGTACGTGAAGCAAGTCACAATTCTAAAATAGATGACAATAGCAGGTAGGTAACAATAAAGTATGGAAATAAGCATGATCTTAAAGCAGCGCGATCAAACATGAGAACAGAACAAATTTCTAAGTGAAATAAAACAAATTGGAAAGAAAACTGTCGCGAAATTTCATCGCACTCGGACATTGGTGTGAACAGAGGTGAGGATAGTAGAGATCTTGATATAAGGCTTTAAGAGACAAATGGCCGTAGTACAACAGATGAAATGGATATAAAGCACGCAGTGCGTGAACACCGAAGAAAAGCAAAAGGGAGAAGTAGCGAAGCAAAGAGCATCACAGTCCAGTCTCCGCAGTGTTTACACGTGCAGTGCAATTAAGCAATGTGCGATAACGAGGATGGGTAGGGCGGGTTTGTTCGTTTCTGTCGGTCTCTGAAGAGGAGGTGAGAATATCTGAGTATTGGATTGTTTTCCATAGGTCCATTGTGTGAATTGGGAACGGTTTTTGGAGTGTGTACAAGTACTAGTTAATACAGTGTCTTCACGACAATCGGGCGGTCAGATGGGATTACAATGGACCACTCCTTTCTAATCAATATGTGGGTCGTACTTTCTCTTGAGGCTACACGGTTCACGGCGCATGAATACTGGTTGAGGAATGCAGAGAGCCAGTCTCGTTATGATACACCAGACTTTTGTTGAAAAAAGGATGAAAACAGAATCCCATATGACTTAGCATTGATGACTGAGCAATGAAGTGCATAGAGCAAGACTCGTTCACAACAGGGAACTTCCGGGTGGCTCTTCACGGAGTAACGTTCGAACTTCACCTAGCCAATACCGTAGGGATTATACGGCATATTTCGTCTGTTCCATTTCGTCGTAAACAAAATGCCACAGAAGGCGCTAACTGATTTCCAAAACGTAAGTATTGAAAGGGCAGCTGGAGAGAAGCTGTGCAATTTGGACTACGCCCATGACATCGACTGTCTGTTCCAATGTTTGAAGAACGCGGAAGGCGCACTTGATAGACTAACAGGTGCTTCTACCACATTCGGTATGTGCTTTGCACCTTCAAAGTGCAAAGTGATACCGTAAGACTGGGTGTCACCTAGTACCATCTCGAAACTAAGTGACCAGGAATTAGTCACACTGAATTGCTTTGCTACTTAGATAGCAGTGTGATCGCCTCCGAAAGCCTCAGTACGGTTGGGGTAGGGATGTCTCGGGTTGTGTTTGGTTACCCTACCCTTGCACCCGCGAAATGGCCAAGTGTTTCAAACAGCTTCTGCTGAAGAAGTCCTACACATTGCCTTCCCGCCGCGGAAGTGTTTTTCCACCACAGCGAGAGCACGAAAGGACAACATCCGGGGTCAACTGGGTTGGTAAACCAGTGGCGATTTACCTAGGGGAGTTGGTTGAAAACCCTGATTTTAAAACAACCAAAAGGTGTACGAATAACACACACCTTGATTGTAGCATGGGTCACCGGTTCGATTGGGTGTTGAAGTGTATTGGCCACCTCGGACGTTTGACCCATTCCAAAGGGCGTATAATCCGATGAACCGCACACCGACCGCCAATGGATTGTGGTTTTATACACCGCCCCACTGTTTTGCGGGTCAGGCTTTGACTAGCCGAAGGCGTCCAACTGTCCGTTAGGGGAAGTGTGCACATCGCCGCGGTTTGTAGTGTTCTGCTTTACGGTTGTGAGAATTGGCCTCTCCCAGTGGAGGATGCTAATCGAATTCCTTCATACAAACCACCGATGTCTTCGAACCATAACTCGTGGAAACATCGAGTGATGAATGACGAATTCCGTCATTGTGTGCTGGGTACCGCTGGTCATTCTCCAACAGAATCAATCGCTCTATACCGCCATCGATGGCTTTGTCAAGTTTTGGATATGCCTTTTCATCGTCTACCCTTCCGTGTTCTCGTGGCATGTGCTAAGCAAGGCTGGAAGAAGCACCACGGCGGTCAAACTATGACCCAGCGCAAAGGTATGAAGAAGCTGGCTTGAGCATTGGCTTCCGTTGGTGTATCTCGCCTTCCAGGGTAGGGTCGAAGGGACAAAGATTGTCAGAGGTTAGAGCCGCTGAGAGATATAGTCCAGAGCAGAAGTCAGTGGCGCGAATGTTGTACTATCTGTCTGCTGTCATCTTGTGCCCTCAAAAACAATAAACTAACTCAAAAAGTGCACGGTGAGACAAACGAATAATTTCCAGTCTTGTTATTCATCGTAACCGTTTGACCCCCGCTTTACTGTTATTCTTGTTGTTGCGTTGATGCTCGCAAGTCGTTAAAAATTTATATTTTGTATGAAAGATGTTCAGTTGTTGAGAAGCTTGTATGAATCGTTGGCGAGAGCGCGGAATGGTGAGCAGCGTTAGCGATAGAACGCTTTCTTTTTACGAACAATACAATGTGCGCGGTTAAACCATTCCGGGGAGAGTACGTTTGTCCGGGTTGGCAGAAATGTAGAA